GTTTAAGTGTGAGTTTACATCAATATGAACCAGCGGTGGAAGAAGTACTCACATCTGTTACTGAAGTAAAAGTAGTAATACCACAGTGTAGAAATACTTTGTTACAGTAAAAGTCCTGCAGTCACTATTTGATTTGCAATAAAAATACACAAGTATTAGCATCAAACTAAAAGTACCAAAAGTAAAATGACTCATTACCCAGAACGTCCAGTTTCAGAGAAATATACTATATTACAGGATTATAATTATTGATGCATTAATGTGTTCATCACTTTAATGATGAAACTGTTAACAGTGGAGCTAATTTTAATGACTTTATACACTGCTGGGTGGTTTGTAAATTCCCCCCGGGGTCAATAATATCTTAACTGATAATAATACATCAGGATTTATTTGTTGATTATAATTTTTATTCTTAATCTGAATCTGTAAAGTCATTAATGATATTAAATTAATGTAGTGGAGGAATAAGTAGAATGTGTCTCTCTGAGATGTTTTTACCAAAGCAGAAGTATAAAGTAGCAAAAAAATGGAAATACTCAACTAAAGTACCTCAAAATGGTACTAGGCTTGTGCTGGTTTGAAAATTTTCCAAGTGGTTTGATTTAAAGCCAAATATCTAACCGAACCGATATATCAAATTATATACCTAATTTTACCACTGGGGGTCGCATTTGAGCTATTTTTCCCAGTAAAAGCCTATTATAGGTGTAATGCACTTCCAATCCACTAGGCGATAATGCTGTATTAACTGCCAATACACACAAGGTTACACAAGAAGAAGCAGAAGGACACTTCTCTCGCAGCAGCAGCAGAGTCTGCAGTCCTCGGAGCATCTGAGACAAACTAAACAAAACACTTGTAGGCTCCTCCACTTCATTTAAAAACATACATAAACCTTATTAAGTTGTCATAATGCATGTTACAATACAAGATAAGTTGAATATAGTCCCTTGACATGCCGCTGATGTGAAAAGCTCCCCCCTCCCGTGGACGGAGGCGTTATGTTCTGTGTCGTCTGTAAGTCGTCCGTCCCACCCATTCTGGTGAACGTGACATCTTAAAAAACGCCTTGAGGGAAGTTCTTCAAATTTGGCACAAACATCCACTTGGAGTCAACAATGAACTGAATGAATTTGGTGGTCAAAGGTCACTGTGACCTCACAAAATGTGTTTTTGGCCATAACCCAAGAATTCATATGTAAATTATGACAGAATTTCACACAAATGTCTAAAAGGATAAAATGATGTTTTATATCTAAAAGGTCAAACTTCACTGTGACATCATAACATACCCACCTGACTGACTGTTTACTCACCTCACCCACTCACACACAGGTCCCTCCCTCTTCTTCTACTGTGCCTTCTCCGTGTACCACTGTCTCCGTCTACTCCCCCTACAGGCCACTGCTGTCACTACACCCCTCTCCTGCTGCTTTCCCCATTGCAACCATTCTAACTGTCAGACCCTACCGCCCTCAGTCCACTTTCAAAGTTGTAAATAAAAATAAGCTCTCCTACATAAAACTGAGTGCCCCTGTCTCCTCATCCCACAAGCATGACAACACCAATACCAATTTCGGACTGTTAAACATCCGCTCACTCACGAGCAAGGGTCAGCTCATACAGGATCTTATCACGGACCATAACTTTGATTTTCTCTGTTTAACCGAAACGTGGCAACTGCCCAATGATTTTATTCCACTCAATGATTCCACTCCCCCCGGATTATTTACAGCTGTCGACCGCATGACTCTGGCAGGGGAGGAGGTCTCGCGATGCTCTACCGCAAGAAGTGTAAAGTCCTGCCAGATTCTACCCCTGCCTATCACACATTTGAGTCCATCACCTCACAGTTATCTGGCCCCATCCCCACCATCGTTGCCACCGTGTACTGTCCCCCTAAACCAAATAAGTTTTGGTATGAGTTTTTAAATGACTTTGCTCAATTCCTGACACATCTTTCCACACTCTCCAAACATACTACTCCTGGGAGACTTCAATATCCACATGGACAATACCAGCAACGCTCTCACCAGAAATTTTACATCTTGCATTGACAGTTTTGGACTCCATCAACTCATCAACTTCCCAACACACTTAAAAGGACATACTCTCGATTTAATATGCTGTTCTGGTCTCTCTCCTGTCGACTGTAAGGCAATTCCCCTCCCCTTTTCCAATCACATGTTAGTTTCCTTCAACACCAACCTTGCACTTTCCAAAATCAATCTCCCACGCACTATTTCTTTCCGTAATATTAAGGACATTAATTTGGACATTCTCTCTTCTGGCATTAGCTCCCTCCCCAACACAGACAGCTTTTCCACCCCTGATGAACTGGTACTCCATTACAACAACAGTCTTCATAATCTCCTGGACTATCTTGCCCCACTTAAAACCAGATCTGTCACTTTCACCCGCTCCTCACCATGGTTCACTCCCGCTCTCAGACAACTTAAATCCAAAGGACGCCAACTGGAACGCCTCTACAATAAGACTGGTCTCACTGTGCACAAGGAAATATATCACAACCACATTCTCCACTACAAGGACTGCATCTCACAGGCTAAATCCACCTATTACTCTGGTTTAATCAACTCAAACGATGGCAACTCAAGGGCCCTGTTTTCACTCCTCAGTAACATTACTCAACCCCCGGACTCACTTCCACCACAGATGTACTCTACTGCCTTTTGTAATACCCTTCTATCCTTTTTTACTGCTAAAATTAATAACATCCATCAGCAGCTTGCTCCCAGCTCCTCTCACAATTCATCTTCCCTATTTCCCCCTGTGTCCCCTTTCCAGTCACTCTCAGTATTTGCTCTACCTTCCGTTTTGGAAACCACTGGTCTGATCAAAAAATCTAAATCATCAACCTGCCAATTAGACCCCCTTCCAACTGCTCTTGTTAAAGCCACCATTCCCTCTTTGGCCCCTCTCACCACGCACATAATCCATTCTTCCCTCACCACTGGAATTGTTCCCTCACCCCTCAAAACAGCTGCTGTCACCCCAATACTCAAGAAACCTGGCGCAGATCCCAATAACCACAGTAACTTCCGTCCCATCTCCAATCTTCCATTTCTCTCAAAGATACTAGAAAAAACTGTTGCCTCTCAGCTCCACTCCCACCTTTCCCGCAATAATCTTTTTGATCAATTCCAGTCCGGTTTCCGCCCTCTCCACAGTACTGAAACTGAACTACTCAAAATCACCAACAATCTCCTCCTGGCAGCTGATTCCGGTCTCCTATCCATCCTCATCCTGCTTGACCTGAGTGCGGCCTTCGACACCATCTCACACACCACCCTCCTGGACAGACTCCTCTCTATTGGCATCACACATGCCCCCCTCAACTGGTTCAAATCCTACCTCTCTGGCCGCACTCAGTTCATCCAACTCAAATCATTCACATCACATCCACTCCCAGTCACCACAGGCGTGCCCCAGGGCTCTGTTCTGGGGCCCCTCCTATTCATCATTTACTTACTCCCCCTTGGCTACATCTTCCGGAAACATCACATCCACTTCCACTGCTACGCGGATGACACCCAGCTCCATATTTCCACCAAACCCGACTCCACCCTCCCACCTTCCTCCCTCACTGACTGCCTCCTTGAAATAAAATCCTGGTTTTCATCCAACTTCCTCAAATTAAACAGCGACAAAACAGAAATTCTACTCATTGGCACTAAAACCACCCTATCCAAATCCCCTAGTTTCACATTATCTATTGACAACTCTAACATTTCTCCTTCCCCACAGGTCAAGAGTCTGGGTGTCATCCTCGACAGCACACTTTCTTACACTTCTCATATCAACCACATAACCCGGTCAGCTTACTTCCATCTCCACAACATCAACCGCCTCCACCCCTCTCTCACACCTCACACAGCTGCCATCCTGGTCCACAGTCTCGTCACCTCCCGGCTTGACTACTGCAACTCCCTCCTGTTTGGCCTTCCACAAAAAACTCTCCATAAACTACAACTGGTACAGAATTCAGCAGCTCGCATTATCACAAGGACCCCATCCACTCACCACATCACACCGGTCCTTCAGCAGCTCCACTGGCTCCCTATCACACACCGTATCCAATACAAGATTTTACTGCTCACCTTCAAGGCCATTCTCAACCTAGCCCCTCCATACCTGTCTGATCTCCTCCACATTGCCACACCCGTTCGCACACTCAGATCCTCTTCCTCCATCCACCTCTCCGTTCCCCCCACCCGCCTGGCTACTATGGGGAGCAGAGCATTCAGCTGCTCTGCTCCACAACTCTGGAATTCACTCCCCCTTGACCTCCACAACACCACATCTATCAATCTGTTCAAATCCAAACTCAAAACACATCTGTTCAGACTTGCCTGTTCCACCTGATCATATGCATTACACTGTCTTACTGTCTTCCCCTCTTTTTTAATGTATTGTATGATGTGTTATGATGTTTTGTATGCTGTGTTTTATCTTTGCTGTAAGGCGACCTTGAGTGGCTTGAAAGGCGCCCTAACAAATAAAATGTATTATTATTATTATTATTATTATCATTAATGTTCTGCAGTTTTCTGGACATTATTCAACGTCATATCTCAGGAACAGAAGGGGAGACATTTGGTCAGATACTGAATTGGTGACTCTAATCTTGAAACTGTGCTGATTGTATAGATCTTCTCTGCTGCCGGGGGGAAGATGTGTGAAGCATCTATGTTTTACAGACGTGGATGTAAACTGTACAAGAAACTTGACTGCTGTGCTGAGGCAGACAACCACGAGGCTACTTTAGTTTGAGTAGTATTTTGAGGAATAGTATTTTTTCTGCAGGCAGTCAGAGTAAATGTTTTAGAATGAAGATCTCCAATCATTTATTTTCAGAGCTTGATGATCTCATAGAAATACCACCGCTGAACTGCACATCTGAGCTCTCCTTCACTCACAGCACATTCATATAACAACAGAATTCAGGATCCTTATATTACACTGATCATAGTTTGATTAAATGATGATTGATTGTGTTAAACAAATAAAAAACAATATGTAATCACAGTTTTGATGTTTCTCACTTTGTGTCCTCAGAGTGTCGATATGGCTGCTGCCAGCTGTCTGCTGACTGAACATCAGTTTCGTTGCTCCATCTGTCTGGATGTGTTCACTGATCCAGTCAGCACACCATGTGGACACAACTTCTGTAAAACCTGCATCACTGAACACTGGGATATTAATTACCCCTATCAGTGTCCAAACTGTAAGAAGGACTTTTACACCAGACCTGAGCTGCAGGTCAACACTTTCATCTCTGAGATGGCTGCTCAGTTCAGACAGTCAGCTCAACAGAAAGCCAGCAGCAGCAGCTCAGAGCAACAAGTTTCCAAACCAGGAGAAGTTCCCTGTGACGTCTGCACTGGAACCAAACTGAAGGCCCTGAAGTCCTGCCTGGTGTGTCTGGAATCCTACTGTGAGACTCACCTGGAGCGTCATCTGACAAGTTCAGGCCTGAAGAAACATCAGCTGATCGACCCTGTGGAGAACCTGGAAGGCAGGATGTGTCTGAAGCACGATAAACTGCTGGAGCTGTTCTGTAAGACCGACCAGATGTGTGTCTGCATGCTCTGTCCCTTTTTAGACCACAAGACACATGATGTTGTTCCTCTGAGAGAAGAATATGAAGGAAAGAAGGCCGAGCTGGGGAAGACAGAGGCTGAAATTCAGCAGATGATCCTGAAGAGACGACTGAAGATTGAGGAGATCAAACACTCAGTGGAGCTCAGTAAGGAAGATGCAGACAGAGAGATAGCAGATGGTGTTCAGGTCTTCACCGCTCTGAAGGAGTCTGTTGAGAGAAGCCAGGCCGAGCTCATCGACACGATCCAATGGGAGCAGAGAAAGACAAAGAAACAGGCTGAAGGCTTCATCAAAGAGCTGGAACAGGAAATCTCTGAGCTGAAGAAGAGGAGCACTGAGGTGGAGCAGCTCTCACGCTCTGAAGACCACCTCCACCTCCTCCAAAGCTTCATGTCCCTGAACACTGCTCCACCCACCAAGGACTGGACAGAGGTCAGCGTCCGTCCACCTTCATATGAGGGGACTGTGAGGAGAGCTGTGAGTCAGCTGGAGGAGACGCTCAGTGAACAGATGAAGAAGCTTCTCACTGAGGTCGAGCTGAAGAGGGTCCAGCAGTCTGCAGTGGATGTGACACTCGATCCTGATACAGCACATCCTTATCTCATCCTGTCTGATGATGGAAAACTAGTTACACATGGTGATGTAAAGAAGAATCTCCCAAACAATCCAGAGAGATTTGATCCTTGTGTTGGTGTCTTAGCAAAGCAGAGTTTCTCTTCAGGAAGATTTTATTATGAGGTTCAGGTTAAAGGGAAGACTGACTGGGATTTAGGAGTGGTCAGAGAGTCGATCAACAGGAAGGGTAGAATCACAGCAGCTCCTCAGAATGGTTACTGGATGATATGTTTGAGGAATGAAAATGAGTACTATGCTCTTGCTGACCCTTCAGTCAGTCTCTCTCTGTAGTCTCGGCCTGAGAAGGTGGGGGTGTTTGTGGATTATGAGGAGGGTCTGGTCTCCTTTTATGATGTTGATGCTGCAGCTCTTATCTACTCCTTTACTGGCTGCTCCTTCACTGAGAAACTCTACCCACTCTTCAGTCCTTGTAATAATGATGGTGGTAAAAACTCTGCCCCTCTGATCATCTCTCCTGTCAATCAAGCATGTAGGTTTGTAAGTTTGTATCAAAATATTTTTTTCTAACTCAAACTAATAGCGTCAGTCACACAAAGTAGAACAACAATCTGATTTTCTACAGAAAGATTCACTCTCATTTAATGTAATAAATGTATATTATTGGTGATTGGTGAATACATTGTTGATTTTTCAGTGGTTTTCTCTCTTTTTTTTTTTTGTAAATATTTTTTGCTCCTTACAACTAGAACCCACAGATTTTATGACACTGGTTGATACTATCTAATGTAGTTGTATTTATTCTAATGTGCGCATTACCTGCCTCCAAGACTGTTGAATCATCAAAAACAAACATACTCAGAAATCACAAGCATTTGCACATTAAATAAACTCTGGCGTCAAATTCAAAATCTTACATTGCCCAATCATTGTATATACACTGAACAACACTTCTGTTTTTGCTCCCATTCTTTCACAGGTTTAAGTCAAATATCTAAGACCATTTCTGCACTCAATAATTATATTTCTCTCAAATTTTGGTTGTAAATCTGTTAAAATCTATGTTAGTGAGCACTTCTTCTTTTTGAAGATAACCCATCCACCTGACTGATGTGGCATCTCAAGATGCTGATTAAACATTATCATTACGACACAGTGTGCCTTGGGATGGTCACAATAAAAGGGTACTCTAAAATGTGGCATTTGATCACAACACAGATGTCTCAAGTTTTGAGGGAGCATGCTATTAGCATGCTAATGGCGTGAGTGTCCACCAGAGCTGTTGCCTGTGAACTGAATGTAATAGGGGGACACTAGGACCCTGACAAAATTTGACCAGTCAAGGTGAGAGCACCTGAACTGTTAAGAGGCTCATGGAGCACAGGTGTGTAAGTCTCATCCTTGACCTGCGATCACTCCTGTGCACATGCTTGCCTGGGTCTTAACAGTCCACGAGTTGTGGCAGCAGAAAGGCAAAGTGCTTGTTGCCATTCATTTTATATTTTACTTTATGCTATTAATTATAAATTGTTTTACTTGTATTTTAGTAAATTGAACTTATTAACATCTTATCTTTATCTTTAAGTGCTGCAGTTGGTGTTGGCCTGTCATGGGTCATGGGAGCAGCCAGTGCAGTGGGAAATCATCAGCTGAGTTGTGGTGATATAGTTTAAGGTTTGGTGTGTCACTCTTGGGGTTTATTTTCTGTGTAGTTTTGGTTATCCACGTATATTATACTTCCATAGATTGGTGTGCCACACCCTGCAACAAGATGCTTTAACTTTTAATTGCTCTAATAATATTGCTGTATTGGACCCTAAATTAATAAAAGCCTTTTATGGCAGTTGGACCCACACTGACTGTTGGTTCTGTTATTGAAGTTCACCTGTAGTTATATGAAAGTTAAGATGGGTCTTACTAGTGTTAATTTTGTTGACGAGAACTAAGACAAAAATTTTTTGTCAACATCCTTCTTTCCATGATGAAAACAAGATGATGACGAGTTAAAAATAGATTGTGATAATTAAAACAAAGACAAATCTATGTTTCATTTTTGTTGACTAGATGAGACGTGACAAAAATGTTAGCGGTAAACTATCAGACATTGGAGGCTGAGAACGGCCGTGCTTGTTATTTTGTTAATGCTGCATCAGTAAATGCACCGGTCGGTGTGAGTTGTGAGCTGTAATTCAGCAGTAAATAATCAGCCGTGTGTCTGACTGTGGATGGTGGAGCTGCTGAGTGGATTTGTGGAGTTTGTTAGTTGCAGTGGTGGCTGTTAGCAGCTAGTTATTTGTTGAGAGCATAAATGGAGAGATGTTGAGCTTTTCAAATGATGATCAGTAAGTGTGTGCTCGTAAATCAGCCCTTAAGCCTGTCACACACTGCTGGAGACATGACACACACATTGTTTTATATAACCTGTCACCTTGATTCTAATTTATGACACATGCATTCGCCTCACTGGATTAGTTTCAAGATAAAAAACATAGAAAAAATATTGACTAAAAGTTGACAAAAATGTCATGAATTTTTGTTGAGTAAAACTATGAGAGATAAAGATAACTAAAATGTGAATAAAACTAATAAACAGTTTCATTTCAAGACTGAGATTAAATCTAAAATAAACACTTGGTGTTACATGAATGTTCATTTTACTACAGTTAGACTTTGGCAGTTCACCCAACCAGCCACACCACTGCAGACCAAACATAACCACACCAGCCCAGGACCTCCACATCCAGCGTCTTCACCTGTAAGATCGTCTGAGAGCAGCCACCTGGACAGCTGATGCAATAATTGATTTGCATAACCAAAGAATTTCACTGAAAAAACATCTGAAACCGTCACAGGGAAGCTCATCTGCATGCTCGTTGTCCTCAACAGGGTCTTGACCTGACAACAATTCATTGTCCTAACCAACTTGAGTGGGCAACTGCTCAACGTCAATGGAATCTGGCTCTCTGGAGAGGAGTTCTCTGCACAGATTAATCCTGGTTTATACTCTACCGGGTAGATGGCACAAGGTGTGTAAGCTATGGACAACAAACACAGGTGCACTTTATTGATGACAGTTTAAATGCACAGAGATACCATGATGAGATCTTCAGATACTTTGTTATGCCAATCATCCACTGCCATGACTTCATGTTGCAGCATGATAATGCACGACCCCATGTTGCAAGGATTTGTACACAGTAAATGGTACCTGAAAACATCCCAGTTCTTGCACGGCCACATCATCAGTCATGTCATCCATTGAGCAAGTTTGGGATGCTCTGGATCTGCATGTACGACAGCGTGTTCCAGATCCTGCCAATATTCAGCAACTTCACACAGCCATTGAAGAGGAGTGAGCCAACAATCAACGACCAGATCAGCTCTATGTGAAGGAGATGTGTCACACTGCATCTGGCAAATGGTGTCACAGCACACCAGAATCTGGATAGGCCTCACCTGTCAGGTGCATGAATCATCTTGGAAAAGGAGGAGTGCTCACAAACATTTTTGGTGCTTCTCAAAGTCAAGGATGCTTTTTTGGTAGGACGGGTCCTTCCAAGTCAGATCCTACAGAGGCTAGGCAAGACTCCTTCCTAGCATTTGGTGAGCACACATTGGAACAGACTAGGGAGTACCCAGGTGTGTCTCGCTTAAGAAACCCCACTTTCAATTTCGGCAAATCATGCTCAACACATAGTAGGTATTTCATGCCCACTGAGGATACACACGTCCTTGAAAATTATCTGAAGTAGGGATTCGGTGCTCAATAGCATTCAAGTATCCTTGACACTGGAACAGTCCTTTGGCGGGATTTGATGATGTAGCCTCCTTGATATTCAGCCGTTTAAGGATCATTCTTTGACTTTGAAAAGCACCGAGAAAATTTCCATTCATCCCGCCTCTTGCCACTCCTACCTGCCAACCTGTCATTGGTTGACACATTTTGCGGTCCTGTTTGTCCACCACGCCCACCTCACTAGCTGATTCCATCCCCAAGACCCCAAACTGGGAAATTGGACTTTCCTGTTGTTTCACTTACCTGCTCATCCTGTGTTCTGCTTACAGGTGTATTAAAAACTATTATGAACTGTCCTTTTTGTCAGTGGTGCTGCATCTGGGTAAGAAACACACCCACGACACATTTTAACAAATTTGCGACCAAAATTTGAGACAAACCATTAACGTGCAAAAATAAATCTAGGATCTTTAAGTGAAAGATGTGAAAAATGAGAGCAAAAACAAAAGTGTTGCCTTTAAATTTTTGTTGTGTAGATTTTCATAGAAAAGATATGACATCGCTGCTCAGAAGATCTATCTATAAACTGATAATTTAAAAAATTGTGCAAAGTAAATTCGACTGCTTCGACAACAATATGCAAGGTCTATTGAAATAATTAGAAATGTACCCAATTATGTCAGTCGAATCAGATTCGACTTTGTTTTTGTTTTCATACACAGCTTTAACCTTTGAACAGAGGGGTATTCCAGGTAGGAAGTTCAACAAACTCTGAGTCTAATCCTGAACTCTGAGTTGACTTACCCTGAGCTGGGAAACTCTGAGTATCTGGTTCCAGAACATCTGATTTGAATTAGTTCAATCAACTCTGAGTAGGTACACCTTGAGTTAAGCGCGTGCACAACCACAATAAAAAGCCATCATCAGTGGAGCCCTGATACCTCAAGTCACCATGGCAACCGGAGAGAAAAAGCGATCAACTTATTTTACACCTGTGGAATTGGAGGTGCTCATGAATGCCCACAGCGACTATGAGCACATATTTCGTAAAAACAGTAACACTGCTAAAGCTGCCAAGCAGAGAGAGGCAGCAAGGGAGAAAACTGCTGCCTGAGTCAACGTCTAAGTTTGAATGCACTAGTCCATTAATTTAACATTTAACCACACTTAATTAAAATCGTAGCATACAGGTGAAAAAGTGGTTTTGAATAAAATCTGATTTTCATGTATAGGTGCAATCTCACAGGGGAAAAACACACTTGAAAGCAGCTTAAAATGAAATATAAAAACATCATTCAAACAGGTAAGGCATATTTGACTTGGCCATGACTGTACCTTTCTTTAGTTTGATTCATATTTGATTTATTAAACAAAGTAGCTTAAATAACCTGTCATTCAGTGGCTATGTCATTATGTACTGTAGATCACTAGTAATTTAAACCCCTCAAAAAATACTGTTTCAACTTTTATGTCCTCTTTCCTAATATCCTGCTTAGTAACATTTGAGTTCTACTCAGCCAATAGAAAGAAGGCAGAGGCCGCAAAACATCACCAATATCATATAAAAAGCTACCGTTCACAAAAAAAATGTAACGCAATGCACAACATTTGCTCTGATGAGAGCGCACGTCTGCGGTGTGTCAGATTTGATATGTGTGGCCGGTAAATGATTGAGTCTAATGAAAAATAGTACCGTTCAAACAGATATTCATTGGGGAATGACAGCACATCTAACGGCATTAAGGTACTGCGAATTAATTCTGCCTCGATATCGATGGGATTTCCTACATACGGACAGCCCATGTCTGTCTGCCAGCTTGCTTCAGGCTCGGCAGTAGGGAGGAGACAGGGTGAACTCAGGGTTTCTTAAAGAAAAGAAAAAAGAAAACCCAGAGTTTCCTTCATTTCAGGGTTAACATACTCAGAGTTTTCATTAAACCCGCTTTCTGGAATACCCCCCAGGGCTCAGTGAGACGTTCAGTGTGACATGGAAATCATGCAATATAGTAAACAAGCCAACGGTGCTGACGACAGCTCAGAAATGTGCAACATTTCACACAAAAGTATCTGTGAGCTGTAAATTCACCACTTCCAAGCAGAGGATGGAAGATTATTTCGAAGCCTTAATGTGGAAAGTTTCTCCTCCTCTGTGCCACTGCATCATGTCCACAGCTGTTTGCAACAAAGAGTACACTGGTGAGTTCACTGTCCTACAGAGGTTTCAAAGGTTCATATGAAAAATGTTTGGCCTGCTTTCAAATATTTCCACTCTAATGACAATATAAGCAGCAGTGTAGCAGTATTGTTATATTATTTGATGTTTGATGTGACAGTAATGGAGAGTTAGTTTAACAGTTTGATTATTTTTGAAACTTTTATTTGAATAACTAAAGTTCTCAGGTCGACTTTAACAGTGAACTCTGTTTTTATCTGTGAAACAACACAAGCTAACACTCCCCACTGCAGACCAGTCACACTGGTTTCCCCATGTTTACATATGCTGGCACATTTAATTGGTTGCTTGTTACCCTGGCTACCAATTAATGCCAGCCCAAATAAGCCCTGAGGAAATGCAGTTATCCTTCATATTCATATACTATGCAGACCTGCACAAACAGCATGTTTATCAGATTTCAGATGAATGTCTGATGTTACTCATATTGATGTGATCTGCTGTTTAAATCCAGTTTACAAAGCTTAACCCAACAAACACACATATAATAAACTTTTCACTTAATTCAGTCATATTTTCCACATTTTCCACTCTTCTCAAAATGTCCAACCTGGATAACTCAGACTGAAAGACTTACAGACTGATTTCAAATCTACCTTTAGCAAATGTTTGAGACAGAATTGTTTTAAAGCCACTTCTAGTTCATCTTACCAACAGTGGCGTTTTAGAAAGGGTTCAGACTGATTATCTCATAAACCACAGCACAGAGACGGCCCTACTCA